ATGCATTCAGAATAAATACATTTATTTTGAATATTAAAATGAATACTTTTAAAGCATTCATTTTAACATTCGTGAATTAATATTTCTGAAAATCTGAATCAATTTCAATCCATTCTCGTTTGTTGGGGAAGTCGTTGAGTCTTAAATCGTAGAAAATTAATTAATCATAGTCGAATATAAAACAAATAATCGACTATGATTGATCAATTTCCTATTTACGTCCAGTTCCACAATTCATAATTAACTCTTAATCGAGGTTTAATTTATTTATTGTCTCTTTCCAATTTTAATTAGAATTGGAAAGAGATGAGAAACAAGTTGAACCTCAGTTAAGAGTTAATTATGAATCGTGGGCCTTAAGACCCACTGAGAAAAAGATGCCTAAAAATATATTTATAAAAAATATATTTATTTCACTAAATTTATTTAAATACGGATGCAATTAATAAGATACATTTCACAAATGTATGTTCATCACGATCAAATTTCGTAAGTAACAATTGCTTCGCAATACTTCGACATTTTTCTCTCAGTGTACAACCGCTACGACTTCTATTGGGTATTTTCCATTTGATGACAAGTCGACACAATTCATTCTATCTTTGTCTCTCTTTCACTCTTGTCACTCTCTAAATATTAAGAAGGATGAAATACTTGTAATAAAACGACGCTTGTGTCGATTCGTGTCGATTTGTGTCGATTTGTGTCATCAAATGGAAAGCACCCATTGTGCAGACCCTGCATTAGTCATAAATCAGAAGTCAGAAGCTAAAAATTCACGACTGTGATTGATCAATTTTTAGCTTTTGACTTTTGATTTATGATTAATGGCTTATTGTAGAAGGCCCATAAAGGATTTGGATGTTAGAAGTAATTTTGTTGTTCCCGTAAAGAAAGAACGACAGAAAATTTTACAGAGCTAATTCATCATCGTTGTATAAAATATCATTGAACGTCATTCAGTATCTACAAAACATTCGCGTTCCAATAAATCATAAAATTAACGTCGCGAGTTGAGTTCACATTTTGACAATCACGCACGAATTTCCTAATGGTATGTTACTGTTGATATGTATTTTTTTTTATTTTCAAAGGACATTCTATTGAAATCTTTTTGCTAAAATAACATGTAACATTAATTTATCCGCCAATAATCGCTCGGATTAGCCTATTTTTTCTGCCATGAATTTGTAATTCAGGGTTCTGCTTAGAAATTTAGATGGTTTCTAATCTGGCTCCTTTTGAGAGGCAAAGAAAGAGGTCTAACTTAGAGGCTGAAAAGATGGATTGTCCATGCGAGCGATAATTATGGAAAGTGCGTCTTTTGAGATTGGATAAAGTGACAATTACATTTATAGTATACTCACGAATCATAAAGATTGCAAAACAGATATCGTACATCATTTGAAATAAATCATCAATTTTTGAGCGCGTTTAATGCGCTTTTTTTAAGCTTTGCGATTAAAATCGCAAATTGTCTAAAGTATTTGGTCTTTTTTTCCACCACATTCATGTTCCCTTCACAATCACAAGCTCTCGCTTTATTGAGAAGGAAAAAAAAAAGAGTGGTTGTTATTCAAGGACCAAGGCCTTAGATCAAAATCTATTTCTTTTTTTCTTGTGCTTAACTCATAATTAGTATCTAATGTTGATACATAACATATAATGTAATCTATCCTTATAAGATTAGTAATCTAATAATAACTTATAGTTACTATCGAGATTGGAAAAAATTGTGTACATATCGTATGTATGCGTGCATGCGTGTATGCATGGCATGCGTGCATGCATGCCCACACATGTGTATATGTATGTGTGTTTACAATAGATATGAAACACGTCAAGGTGCGGAAATATTTAGACAAAAAAATTTTAAAAAATTATATAATTAAAATATGAACGTCCTGGGTATACACGTGAAGTTCGCGCGAGCGATGAATCCAACTGATACTTCCTGCTGTTGACGAAATAGCACATCTAGTAGTAACGAGAAAAACAGAGAATCTTGCGGTATAATCATAGTTTACACAATATTTAGCGCAGCATCGTGTCATACTATCCTATAAATGTATCATAAAATGTATATCATCATAGCTGATTATCCGGCAGTCTGTCTTTAATAACGTAAGATGGATAAAAACCTATCTTGAAACAAAGTTCTATTATTTGCGTGTTGTCTGTACGGTCTGCGTGTTTTGATTTGTACGAACAAAAAAAAAGAAAATAGGATAGAAAGTAGACGTATATGAAGATAATCACTGCTAGAGATTGATAATGAACTCATAGTGTGACAAAGGCTTCCCTAAGTTATCTAAGTAATCCCAGGACCTCTATTCTTGAAAAGAAATGTATACGAAAAACTAGTATGCGTGTGCATGCATGTTATGAAACATTTAGATAAAAAAATTTTTTTAATTATATAATTAAAATATATATGAAGGTCCTGGATATACATGTGAAGTTTGCGCGAGCGATAAATTCAACCGAAACTTGCTGTTATCGACGAAATAGCACATCTACTAATAACGAGGAAAACTGAGAACGTAAGATACGCCTTAGTATTTTTTTCGTATATTTCTTTTCAAGAATAGGGCCCAAAATGTTTAAGGCGTGAAACGAACAGGGATGACAAACACGAATTAACGTTTCTTTCACATTTCTATCGAGCAGTTCCTGTTCGCTGTATAAAGACTGCTCTTCATATCGCGAAAAGACTGTTAACACAAGTGATGATACAGGCACTAGAAAATCTTGACAATTAATAGAACTTGCGGTTTCGACCACGAAATTGAAGAATTAATTGATTAACATAATTGTAAAGAATGTAGATAAGACAATGGGGCTACATTTACAATGAGATTTAGATACATCGAAATTATATTGTAACAAGGCTGAAGAAGCTACATTCAAAAAAAAAAGAAAAAGGTTTTTTCTCAGACGTCGCAAAGACATCAACGGTTTGGCTTAACTCTCCATTGAGTTAGTTTAACGCGAGTGGACGTCTCCACTTGAGAAGATCTCCAAGCCAAGCTAACTAATGTCTTTGAAATTAAATCTGTATACTGTGTATACCATATTTGCTGCGTGCGAAAATATATATTGAAAACAGACGAGGGGGTAGAATAGAAAGAAAGAAAGAGAGAGAGAGAGAGAGAGAGAGAGAGAAAGAGAAAAATTAAAGGGAAACGATACAGATATTTTGTTACTATTAATTACTATTCGCCTGTTTCACCCATGACACAGTGTATATTTTAATTATAGCAAAAAAAAAAATAAAAATGCCCATTATTTCAATTGTTCCTTGTGGCATTTATAATATACAATATATACATATATAACGCAAAAAGTTTATTTGTTCTCTGTTAGTAACTGTTCGTTCTTTGTGAATTCAAGTCTATTCT